ACGCCTAAACCACGCCCGACTATCAAAATTGTTGGTCATTGCATCATTGCAGCTCTTAATGTCTTTCAGGTTTGCATTTCCAAGATAAAATTACAAATATAATCTTTACACATTGTTTTTCCATATTGTTTTTAATTTGAATTTAGATTGGAATCTAGTTTAATTTAAATTATTTGATAGTTAGGATTGTAAAGAGAACTTGTGTTTCCTGTATTTGCAGTGTATTTTTAAATTCAGTATATGTATAGTATTGACAAATATGTGTGTATGTTTTCTGTTTGTGCTTTGTCAAATTTTACTGCGGTGGTCATTCCCAACCACCATGAACAGCACTGAACCACTGTTATACAACGTCACCGTTTATCATTAACACTTGTTAAAGTCACTAGGAAACTAAATTAGCAGTTATTTGTCTGTCTTGGTTTTCCAGTTTTTTGTTTAGGACTCAAGGAAAGACGATGTTTGCTTTTTTTTTGTGCAACCACAAATTGGTGTTGTCAACATCAGAGAGAAGATTTGTGACTTGTAAACAACGCTGCCAGCATTGTGTGTGTATCGATATAAAATGTGGGCAAAACCTTCATTGGGTGCTCACAAATTATGCTTTAACAAAACACTGCTGAAAGTCAAAGAGAGTGGAAATTAACCATCCAGTCGAACCCTGAACACTGACAGCAGGAATCAGGCAGTCCTGGCCTTACACACAATCGTTTATTTTATTATTATTTACATTTGTAGGGTCGCCATTGCGCTTAGACAGACGAGTGAGTTATCTTTGATGGATGTATCCATTTTAAGGAGTCACAAGGATCAGCGATTCATCACATACTTATTAAAATGATATATTTTTGAGCAGGACCTTCTCTACTTTATGTGAATTTTTATTATTTAATGAATTGATTTGTTTGCATTTTGAAAGATACAGCAATGTGACAGATTGTGTGTTCATTTATACAGTTTAAAGTTACAGCACATTAATAAACTTTTTCTGTAAATGAACCAGTTTGGCCATCCTTGCTAATTTTCAACTGCAGTGTAATGACATCTACAAAACACATAAAATACACTGAACAGGAATAATGTATATATTGCTTAGCTTAGAACATCATAAAAACACATAAACAAGGGCAGCAATACATAAAACATACAACAACGTAGACTTCAGGTTATTTGTATAAGTTATGGAGTATGGGCACACACGTGATTTGTCTCTCAGCCATGATTTTAAATTACTTTTAAAGGTCCAGTGTGTAACATTGAGGAGGATCTATTGTCAGAAATGGAATATAATATTTATAGGTATGTTTTCATTAGTGTAAAATCACCTGAATATAGGAATTGTTGTGTTTTTGTTATCTGAGGCGGAGTCTGCCATACAGAGGGAGTGGGTCTTCTTCTACAGAGCCTTCATGTTAAACCACCAATGTTTCTACAGTAGCCCAGAATGGACAACCCAAACACTGGCCTTAGAGTGGGCCTTTTGTGTTTTTTCAGGACAACTGTAGTTTCTCCTACACATTCACAGCTCGTTTTCATTCCCAGGCTGTCAAATACAGATGCAAATGGTGTTGAAATTGAAATTGAAGAGAAGCTAGTACAGGAGAGATGTGATCTCTTTTTCTAGTTCCTGTCAGTACTCGTGCTGCAGCGTTCTGTATTAATTGGAGCGTTTTAATGGACTTATTGGGGCAACCTGATAATAAAAAGTTGCAGTAATCCAGCCTTGAAGTAACAAATGCATGGATTAGTTTTTCTGCATCTGTCTGTGATAGTGTGTGTCTAATTTTTGTAATATTACATAAATGAAAGAAGGCAGTCCTAGAGGTCTGCTTCATGTGGGAGTTAAAAGACAAATCCTGATCAAAGATAACTCCAAGATTCCTGACAGTGGTGCTAGAGGCCAAGGTAATGCCATCTAGAGTAACTATATCTTTAGACAGTGAGTCTCTAAGGTTTTTGGGGCCAAGAACAAGAATTTCGTCTTTTTCTGAGTTTAACATCAGAAAATTGCAGCTCATCAAGACATGTTTGTAATTTAGATAATTGATTAATTTCATCGGGCTTGATCAATAGATATAACTGCGTATCATCTGCATAACAGTGAAAATTAATGGAGTGATTCCTAATAATGTTGCCTAAAGGGAGAATATATAGAGTAAATGGTATTGGTCCAAGTACAGAACCTTGTGGAACTCCATGACTAACTAGTATTTATTGAAGATTCATCGTTAACATGTACAAACTGCGAACGATCTGATAAATATGACTTAAACCAGCTTAGTGCGGTTCCTTTAATGCCAATTTGATGCTCAAGTCTCTGTAAAAGAATATTATGGTCAATGGTGTCAAATATAGCACTAAGATCTAATAATACAAGTACAGAGACAGGCCCATTGTCAGAAGCAATCAGAAGGTCGTTATTAACTTTAACCAGAGCTGTCTCTGTGCTATGATGAACTCTAAATCCTGACTGAAAATCCTCAAATAAACTATTGTTATGTAGAAAGTCACACAACTCTTTGGCGACTACCTTCTACAGAATCTTAGAGAGGAAGGGGAGGTTAGAGATTGGTCTATAGTTGGCTAAAACCCCTGGGTCAAGAGTGGGCTTTTTAAGAAGGGGTTAAATTACAGCTACTTTAAAGGACTGTGGTACATATCCTGATAATAAAGAAAGATTAATCATATCCAGTAAAGAAGTGCCAATTAAGGGAACAACTTCTTTAAGCAGCCTAGTTGGGATCGGGTCTAACAGACAGGTTGATGGCTTCGGTGAAGAAATGATTGAAGTTAACTGATCGATAGCAGAAAAACAGTCTAAATATATATCTAAGTTTACATTAGCAAAAGTCCCTGAACTTGGAGAGCCACTGATAACTGTTGATGGCAGTTGGTGATTAATTTTCTCTCTAATAGTAATAATTCTATTGTGGAAGAAGCTCATAAAGTCGTTGCTACTTAAGGTTATGGGGATATGTGGCTCAATAGAGCTGTGGCTCTCTGTAATCCTGGCTACAGTGCTGAAGAGGAACCTAGGGTTATTCTTATTTTCTTCTAATTCATCTTAATTAATACCTTAATGAATGTCCATAAGTTCTGTCTCCTGCCATTGACTGTGGTGGGCCACCCTGCTCCTTGCAGCCATCCCTAATAGACCTTAAATGGTGTGGTTTTCAGTGGAAAGGATGGGGTCCAACGATGATTGCAAAAATGCTGGAAGCTTTTCACCTCAACAAGAGTGCAGTCCTTGAGCAACACTGAATATTTATTTAGCTTGGAAAGCTATGGGATGTTAAGATATCAGCTGCGTCATCAGTGCAGAAATATTGGTGTTTACATTTTAACTTAGGTTTTAATTTGTGGCTGTTTGTAACACTGTGCTGATTTGTTTTTTAAACAACTGGACACATTCCTGGTCGAAACAGCAAGGTGTTTGAGAGTTTACAAAATGACGTGGAAATGGTTTGCAACATCTGTATATAGTACCTGTTTGCCTGTCTGCCTGTCTGTCTGCTGTGTGTATTCAGTATGTTATCTGATATGCGCCAGTATGAAAACACTTTTGTTCCGGTATATAATGCAGAAAAAATGCTTGTGGTAATTTATTGGTGTTACTGCAAAGTTTATCCAGCAGAGTGTGCTGTGATTTACAATACTATGTAATGCAGCAAAGATTAAGAGAGAAGCAGCTTTCAGCAGTGTTGACTAGAATTAGGTGACAGTGTATACGTTAAATGATTTAACATGTAAAAGAATATCTAACTTAAACCCTCTACAAGGAACTTTCATTTTGTGTAGATTCTGGCGGGCCCCGGTTACAAAAGCTGTAGTGTTTCTACTGCCTTGCTTTGTCTGAGTCAATCTGACCAAATCCGACAATATCGACATAAATAAAGAGGAACGACATGACAGCTCTCCAAAATTGAAGCCAAAACATTTTGATCGCCCCCGGGTGGCTGACTGCAGTATAGGCCATAAAGCCCACTGTCTCCATGTTGGCGGATGGGACATGGGTAGTTCTTATCATGCTGATTGTATGTTCGAGTGTTCATTTTCTGATCAGTGTGGTTTTAATTAGTTCTTTGCCGACCCCGATCACTACTGTGCAGACTCTAGCTCCAAATGGCAAAAGATGACAGCGGCCGTATCCACTGTATTTTGGCTTCATTTTTGTACAGTGGCAGGAAGTAGAGACACAACATCCATACTTTCATAATCGAGTTTGTGTACATATACATTGTATATTTGTTCAAAAGGTACACTACATCAAATACAGTACCCAGACTCGGGGAGAGTTTCCAGTCTGGTATTTAGTAACAGTTAGTGTACAGTAATTAAGACAAATTGTAGGAAAGTTGGTGACTCAACAGATATTTTCCAGGTTATTTTTGACACATTTTATGAGCTCTGTGTTTTTTCCTCCTGTCCTTGGTAATAGATGCCAGAAGTCAGACATGCAACCCTTCCACTTGAATAAAAAGTTATCACGTTTTTGCATTCTTTTTTTTGACATGCACATTTCTCCTGCTTCCTTGGCACATCCAAACACCAAAACTATCCAAGTTAGTGTCCAAAACCACAGGAATAAAAGTGTTACATTAATATGCCTTCATCTATGAGTAAAATCATTTCTTTGTTAATTTATAAATAACTTCTCAAGTGTATAGTAGTTCATTTTTCCCCACAAGCTGCCCACACGCAGGATGTGTGCGTAAGGATGTGCACTGTCTGGGCAGAGAAGGGCTGGTCTCTGCAGAATGTCAAAGAAGACCAGCCAGTCACTGAGCTTGATGATGAGCTTGTAGGTCATAATGGTACTGAATGCTGATCTATAGTCAATAAAACTTTAATAAAGGTCAAAACAACTCTTTAAGTCAGTCTTTGAAATGACTGGGTGTGTCTTGATTTGAATCACTACTCTTCCCAATAGAACCGCTATTTGGTAAGCATTTTGTGAAAGCAAAGCTGGTGTCAGTGCTGTCTTGTGTTGTCTCCTCCAGGGATCTACCTGTTAGACATGATCTACATCGACTCAGCCTATCCTGCATCAGACAGCATCATAGAGACGGAGCAGCGGACCAATCAGATGAACAACCTTCTGAGGGTCATCTCCGACCTGCAGATGTCATGTAACTACGGTAAGAACATCTACATTGCCCAGTAGAAACAGTGTAGAACCTGCCGGTCTGGATCATCTCGAATGAGCCTATTGTGCTGTGTGAATTAGGGACACATGACTTCACGGTTTAATGCTAAATTTGTTTCCTCCTCTTTCCCCTAGTTTACTTATTTACTTACTTATCTGTTTGCTTTAATCAAACTGATTCACAGCTCTACGTACTATATGTGCAGTGTCAGATTGTTTTATGTAAAGTGACTCTTCCAATTATTTTTTCCTCAGATTACTTGGTGACCCTGCCACATGTCCAGAAGTATCTGTTGTCAGTTCGCTACATAGAGGAACTTCAGAAGTTTGTAGAGGATGACAACTTCAAGTAAGTTTCAGTGACTGGTACTGCAGTCTTTTTATTGTGGACAATATTGTGGACTCTTTATTGTGGACAATATTGTGGACTCTTTTTATTGTGGACAATCCTTGCTGTTTCTCTGATGGCCAGATTACCAAGACATTCACTGAAAACTCTGTATACTTTGGTCACAACACAAGCTTTGCTCTAGCACACGGAAACATGGAGGTGGGCGTGAAATTGACGGGGGTCAATGCACAGGAAGCAGGATGGAAAACGACCGGCAGCTGGTTTTATCTTTCTCAACAGGGAGCTCCCTCATCCAGCAGGCACTGATGACTTTCTCAGGCAGCTTCTCAGATCTTCTGCTCAGAAATAGGTTTGGCTGTCTGCCATGGCTCATGACAATCTGGATTTAGTACTTGATTTTCTGGGTGAGACGTCATTACGGGGCTAAACTAATAAAGAATAAGAACAAAAAACAAAAACCCGAAAACAACAAAGAACATCATCCTTCATATTATAACTACTATAACAATGAAATTACACAATGTACACAGATCACTTAGATGCCAAAGTTGCAAAACCTTATGATAGGATTTCAGCATAGTCTTCTCCAATAAAGTCTATGACAGGGCTCCAAACAGAAAAACCCATTCATGTCTCCTTGGGGAACATGTGTGAGCCTTTCCAATGGTAGAAGTTGTAGGACATTATGAAACCAACTTGAAACAGATGGTTTGACATCATCTAACCAATCCTGTAGGATTGATAACCGTGCACACTACCACAGAACACTCTCTTATGTCTGTTTAATTCAGGTGAGGCAGCTTGCAGGCCTAAAATGCATTGTAGAGGATTAAGCTCGATAGGACTGCGTATTATACCCACACTGTTACCAATTTCAACCCAAAATGTATTAACTTCCGGAGAGAGCCACATTTAATGCACATAGGTGCCTATATGCTGCTTACACCTTACGCAAACACCAGAACAATCACTGTCATATTTACTCCTACAATATGGGGTAGTTTGTCATTTCTGAATAATCTTAAACTAAGTTTCCTGTAAATTTTAATTGCTACATATTCTTTTCCTATTTCATATAATTGTTTTACTAGTGATCATTGTTTTCCTGTTCACGTGACCGCCTACTGCTTATAGTACTTTATAATACTTATAGTAAATGTCGCTAGTTTTTTAGCAGGCTAACCTGGTGAATGAGTGTCTCAATCTGCTGCAGTCCATGACCTTCCTTATACTGAGGTACTGAGTTTAAATACATCAAATTTGAAAAGATCTAAAAAAAGAAAAAGTGTATCTTAGGTAGTCCGTATTCTTCCTGAAGGTGGTTAAATGACTTCATAGTACCACCTCCATAAAGAACGTTTATCACCTTGGATTCCAAATGTGTTCCACTCTTTAAAACCAGGGTCAACACAAGAAGGAATGAAATTGGGGTTATCAATAATTGGCGCATAAAGTGCATAGAGATTAAGTAATTTTAACTGACTCTTCCTTGGGTGGCGCATTATTTTATGAGTATGTTATCTTTTGGCTTCTGTTTTCAAATAAAGCTCAGGTATTAATTACCATTTTTGAAACCTGTGTAGGATCTTATATGTATATAGGAACAAGAATATAGCATGAATCAGTGCCACATACTTCAGCATTTATAGCCTAAGCTAATTAGCAATGCTGTCCCTGGGTATTTGAAATCCATAAAACTCAACAAGAACATATATACAAATCAACACAAACAACACACAAAACACAAACACTTTACCAACAATGATACGATAAATAATACTGTAAAACCTCAAAGATAAGTATTATTAAGAACATTTAATGACATTATTAAAGAACATGGCATTGGTGTGATATATGGGAGGTCATCTGTAGTTTTCTTTATTGACCTAGGAGCTGACAGTGCCCTGCCTCTTACACAAGACTATACATGATTTGGTGTAAAATAAATATAAATCTTAAATCTTGTGGGCCCCTTAGTTTTATCCATGGACCCCTTGTGGCTCCTGACATTCAGTTTGGGAAGCCCTTTGTGAGTTTGTGCTAGGTAAAATAGCATAATGTCAATACCAGATGAGACACAACACAAGCCAATACATGCAGTAGCTATATAATTCTACTGGGAATACATATGGTTTTATTACGATTGTTATTCCTAAATATGGGTCCGTAACGTAGCAATTCACAGGACATGACATCCAATCCAATCCAACTTTATTTGTTAAGCACTTTAAAAACAACCAAAGTTGACCAAAGTGCTGTAGCCGTGGCAGATAACACGGACAAAGTCCGACGGCGACGAGCTCGATGTCCGGGCCGCAGACACGCTCTTCCACACAGTCGTGCCCGGCGTTACACCACCTGTTGTTTATGAGCACGGACAGTCCCCCTCCTTTCTTCATGCCGGTCGCGGTGGTGTCCCTGTCGGCTGGAACCGTCTGGAAGCCGGGAATGGTGACGTTGGAGTCCGGTATCTGCTCGTGTAGCCACGTTTGTAGGGTTTAAAGCTCCTCTTCTTCATCCTCCGTTTAACCCCCGCTCTGCAGCCTCACCGTCTCCTCAGCTCCTCCGGTATGGAGGGTCTCTCTCCGGTCAGGATGCTCGGGTACCTCAGGGCGATCATCTGGTCGCGGGTGTAAACAATGCGACTCGCCGTTGCCATGGAGACCCGTGCAAACAAAAAATCTAAAGTGCTCAAAACGCCCAAAAAGTATTTAGGCGACGTGAACAAAGTAGTAAGAAAGTAAGAAAAGAGTTAAAAATAGCAAAAAAGACACTGAAAACACACTGAAACTACAACAATGATAGGAGCCTCAATGACAGGCTGCCGTTGTAACAGGCGCCATTCCAGTGACAGTGTAAGAGGATTACCAGAAGAGTTGATGATGAAATTGGCCCTATGGCTCAGGTTCCCCTAAAATGCCAGCTAATTGTCCGATTCAACAAGCGGCTAGTTGTGCTCAAGACATGACACTACAATACAATACAAAATATGAATGAAAAAACAGATTAAGCGAAGTAATTATATCACATAACACTGATAAGCTGTAAACGCATATGGTGGTGTGTTCTTCATACTATGACAGTTTTCCTAAAATTAGATTTAAAAAAAACTAAATCACAATAAATCACCTTGCTTACAGTATCGCAGTAAATATAGATACATATCGTATTGCCAAATATTTGCCAATACGCAGCACTATGCTCCACTATGTTTACCAGCTAACTGTGTTTGTCTGTAAACAGCTGCCTTCTGCCTCCTGTGGTCGTGAGAAGAGCAGAGTTTGTGGGCCATACAAATCCAAACAATGAGCTAAAAGAGGTTAAAATGCTCTATAGCATCCACCAGACTGCAACTGAGAGCAACTGCAGTCTGGTGGATCACTACAAGCAACCTCTTTCACATTACAGAAAATCATTATTTCCATTGCTAATATAAAAATTATTCATTAAGGCAGGTTTATATCTGGAAAATAGAACCACCAAGTCATCTTTCTTGCCTTCTAGTTGCTTTTGGAACAGTTTTTAATTTATTCAGATGGCTTCATTTTAAGAACATTCACAGTAACTTTTAGGGAGGGTGTTGCAGATGCAACGTCATCAACATTGTTCAATTCTGTTCAGCCTGCTTCAAGACCTCAACTGACTCGCCTTGCTAAAATGTCTAAGCGTTTACTGCAGCAGTCTCAAATGCGCATGTGGAGAAAGACAAACTGCCCACGAGGAGCTGTGGGATGACCAGAACCTTTCAGAGGTCACCATTAAGCTGCGCACACTGACATCAGTCTGAGAGGAAATACACTTTCCAGACCTGTGCAATTGAATGTAAGCTGAAACGTAACAGGAGCTTTTCTGCAGAACACGTGTGTAGGCGAGTCCCCGGAGCCTGTCGTCAGCTCTGTCCGTCAGTAATGTGTTAAATCAAGAGTCACTCTGGGGTCAGCTGGCTACGTCTGTCATGATGGAGGCACCAGTGAAAAGCAGTAAATTCTGATCCGTTGCACCATTTTCCATTGTTAGACGTGATGTAATAGAAAACATGGGCCGGGGGGGGGGCATGGCTTGTGGGAAACAAAACAAAAACACTGTAATATGACGATTGGGAAAGACTAAATTTGAAAATAACTTTGCTGTTCTGTCAAGTCAAGGGAAGTCAAGGGAAGTCAGCTTCCATTCCGCGCTTTGTGCCCTTTGTGCCCATTTTTTTCTTTCCTGGCTACTGGCTGGTAGTGTCCTAAAATTAAGAACTGAGTTATCATTTTAGCACCTCTAGTTTCCCTCAATGTAAATTTTTTTCAATTTTTGGTTAGATGCCTGGAATAAGGTCTGTGGGTAACACAAGCTTAAGAGATTCCATTTTGTTCTTCGATATAAAATACGTCAGTAAATACAACTATGCATTTGAATTAATAATGTTATAAGGAGTTCGGTCTAGACCTGCTCTATTTGAAAAGTGTCCTGAGGTAAGATCCATCCATTAAATGTTTCACTCAAAGCCACAAGTATCAACCTCACAGATATTAGGATACCAGATTTCATGGCAATCCATTGTTGAGATATTTCAACCTGGATGGATAGCAATGACTAACATCCACAGAGCCATGATTACCATGGCTGAAAATCGAACAGTGGCAACCATTTGACTTAAGCTGGCAGTTCCAACACATGCTCTAGGTTATATCATTCTTACTGGTCCTTGGACCATCCCCCAGAGCACCTACATTTTCTGCCAAACTACAGCTCAAAGGGAAAGAATCCAGTGGCAACCTTGAGATTGTCCTGGACTGGGAATAACAGACATCATGTAACCTTGAAACTGGTCTTGCACACTTTTTCACTGTGTCAGTGCTGGAGAAAAGTCCCATTATCGTTCTGCTGTAGGGGGGAAAAACGCTGGCCTGTTTGTATTTCTTTAAACCAATCACAGTCGTCCTTTTTGGCCCTGGCATTAAATGTAATACAACTTTTACTGATAAAAAAGACTTGATCATCAATGCCCT